TAAAAAATTCTATTAACTTGGCTGTCTTTTTGGTCATATATTCCGTGAAAAAAAAAATTAAATAAGTATATACATTGTATATATTATTATATATTACTTTTATAGAGTCATTGTTGTAGGAAGCATAGAATAAATCGATTCCTTCCACACTTTAATAATACTTGAAATTAACTTACTGTTGAAGACTTCTTTAAGTGAAAAAAAAAGAATCACAAATAATAGAGGTGTGCAATTGATTAATTGTTGCTGATTAAATTTGTAAATAATAATCTATAACCGATTAAAAAACTTTCAAAAATAAACATTTAAACCTTTGTTGTCATACAGGCAGTTGTTAGTTTTGTTAATTATACTGCATATGATAGATTTTTTTACTTTGCGTTCCAATATATTCTTGGCTATAAGTACGGGTGCTTGATTGTTAGCAGTCGAAGTAAGAATTTGTTCAACTTAGCAAAAAATTAATGAATCTCTCACCGATAAATGAAAAAGCCCATCTCTTGGCAGCTTTCTTATTCTTGCTAACTTTTTTGTAGCATCCCAAATTTCTTTGAACACCCACTTTAAGCTCTGCTTCACGCAAACATTTTTTCGTTAAGAACAGTGTGATTGTACATAAATTTTATTACATCTTTACCAAAATGTTTCGGTTTCAGGATCAACAAATTGTCTGGAATGATTTCCGGTTTTGGTGTTAAAATCCGTTATAATACAAACAATTGTTAAGATTTCCAACCATTACTGTAAATGGCTGTCTTTGAAAAAATCCACTTCTTTATTATTCTTAACAAAGTATCTGTGTCACTGGTTTTTTGCGAGCATTAGAGTTCAGTTCGAAGACAATCTAAAACTTACTGGCCAGGAAACAAGCAATCACTGTTGTACTTGTCTCCTAATGAATTTGCTTCACCTATTTCGACGATAGTTCCATTATCGCCCAATTTATCTGAGTTACTTCTAGCAAAACTTAGAAAAACTTATCAGTAAATGGAATACTAGTAGACTACAGATAGATGACATTTTCCAACTCACGCCGAGCGATGTTTTGTCTAGGAAGAACTTTGTGTAATCAGTAAGTCACAAAAAAATATGTTTTATATCGGTAATCAAGGCTCGTCGAAAATGTCTCTTTCTTTCCGAGAGAGAATTAACTGGTAGATAGTTGAAACAGGACAGTTGACAAAGTATATTGGGTAGAAATATAATATTATCCACTAAAATATAACTTTCGTTTTAATATAAACAAGTAATTACCAAACTCCAAAGAGTTAAAGAGAGTAAAAAAATTGACTGGAATTCTACACTACATTTGCTAAGATAATTTAAAAGGAAATCGAATAAAAGTGAAACCAAATAAATATAGCAGATGATAGATAAAGAAAACTCTATATAGATTGTAGAAAAATAAAGAATAGTTATAACTTCTACAGTAAAGAGCACCTTACGTAAAATAGTTTCAATTTTAGTTGTAACTATTGGGACCGTGCAAGTTCGGAAACCTGGTGTCGTAAATCAGCAAAATTTACTTCGCTTTCATGTTAGATCGAGGTTACCGGATAACTGTCAAGGACGTAGCCCCAAAAAGAATAAGAAGAAAAAGTAAGATTGAGGTTATGTCGGTATGTTATTAAAAGGTAAACGTTGTAAGTAGTGTAAATACAAATAAATATATTATTAAATTACAGCATTACTGTTAATATGGATGCAATAATAAAAACTGGATTTGAGAAAGTAAATTCACCAAATAACTTTTCAACCAAGTCTGAGTCAAAGGGAAAAGCTTTAGTAGTGGCAAATGTCAAAAAAAATGGAAGAATTATGTGGAAGAATTAAGAAAAATAAATTACCATAAATGCTAATGCTAAATGCATAAATTAGCAGGTTAAGCCCATACATCATCATATTGGTTTAAACAATTAATTCTTTTCTCTGTAAACTTTTGGATATCGAATATATCTTAATGCATCTTCAGGAAAAACTTGAACTTGACGCATTTTGTAAACTTCAAAAAAATAAAATTTAAACATAAACTGATTTTTGGGTTAAAATGAACTCTTGAAGTGAATGTTATGAAACTAAAATTTACACTTAAAAGTGAACTTTTATTTATTATTTATTTCAAACTGACTTTAAAATCGGGCGCAAGAATAATGTATAATTTAGATTATGTTACTTATGCTTTTTTATGATATAAATCCACTTTTCTCTTTGTAGTAGCTTTGTGCTTCGAAGCTTGGAAACGAATAAAACTTAAATTGACAATTTTTTGTTGTATTTTTACAATTTATAACACAGCATTTCCTAAATCCCATTTCTTCAGTGACAGAAGGTGTAAATAAACAAACGAATATGAAATATGACAATTGACAATATGAATTTATGAAATCTATGAAATGTTCAGTAAAAAATGCAAGATTTCTCCGCTACTCGCGCACGATCGTTTCTCGTATCCCTCCAAGTACTTGCACGTCGCCAATTAAAAAAAAAGTCTAGTATATTTAGAATATTTATTGATCCCTAAACTTTTGTACAAAAATACTCATTTAAATATATATACAACTTATTTACAATTATAGAAATTATTTCGTATAAAAATCATGGTAAAATGGTGTCCGTCCAATAAAGGTTACTGGCCACCTAAAACAAAAAATATGTCAAATATATAGTTATTGATAAAGACAAAATATATTAACATAGAAATAATGCAGTGAGGGGTGAATTGTTTAATTTATGATAAACAAGGCAATGGGAATTTCTAAACTATTTAATTTCTGCTTCGCTAATTATACTGCAATTGCAATAAAATTCATTAAAAACCAAAACTTTATTTAACAAAACGAAAAAAGACGCACCATCAACTGTAAATTTATTGAAACATATACCTGGTCCGAAAACTTCTAACTAAAATATTTAAAGATCTAATTAAAATCTGGAATACTTTTTTAATACTTAGATATGTTAAAAATTATTGTCGAATGTACAAATCAACATATTCCTTTAACTGCAGCCAATTATTCTCGTGAAAGAGATACATCACCTACGGATATGTGCGAGCTTCAAGCACTCTTTCGATTTTTGTACTTAAACCATTGGCACTGATATTTGACGACTACGAGAAAGCGTTCGATACCATAAGCCATTAGAAAATGTTAAAAGCATTGTAAGAACGCCGAATAGGCCATCGTTACACTAACATAATCAAATACATCTACCAAAATGCCATAGCTAGCGTAAGACTATCTGAACAAAAAATATATAAATTCTGTGTACAGCGAGGAGTAATTCAAGAAGACACAGTCCCTTCAAAGCTATTCACAACGCTTTTAGAACATATTTATAAGAAGGCATATGTGAACGAGCATGGTATCAAAATAAATGGAGAGAAGCTCAGTCATTTGAGATTTGCAGATGACATCGTCGTTATAGCCGATTGTATGAATGATGCAATAATAATGTTTGAAAAACACGCTTCTTTGAAGGTCGGACTACAGATTAATATGACCAAGACGCAAATAGTGACTAATCTGGTGCTAAATCTAAATATTACTGTTGATGGAAGGGATATATGGATGAAACTCCATATACATGAAGTTCGGTTAGGCAGAGATAACCAGACACGTGAGCTCCCACGTCGCGTAGGATTAGCCTAGGCAGCGTTTGGTAAATTAAACTATGTATTTAAATCGGATCTACCCATATGCATCAAAGGAAAATCTTTGACCAATGTATGTTACCTGTACTCACTTATGCAGTGGAAACATTAACAGTCACAAAATAAGCGTGACTCAGATGGCTATGGAGCGCCAGATGTTGGGTGTCTCTATGAGAGACCGAATCCCAAACAAAGAAATACGTCGCAGAACAAAAACAACAGACGCTACCGAAAAAATCGCGTTGTTTAAATGGAATTGGGCAGGACACGTCACCAGATTATCTGACAACCGTTGGATAAAACGTATTTTAGAGTAGAGACAGTGGAGACAGTAGTGTAAGATATGCCGATGACACCGTAGTATTAGCAGAAATAGAAGACCAACTAAAAATATTGATGAACATACTATCAGAAGAAAGTCACAGACTAGGTTTGGATATTAATCTTTCCAAAACCAAAATCGTGGTATTCCACAAGAACCCCTATGAACAAATTACACTCAACATACAAATCAATGGTATCACCCTTCAGAGCTCCCAAAGCTTCATATACCTGGGCAGAAGCGCTAAACAGTCAGCTAGACCACTCAAAAGAAATTAGAAGACGTATTGAAATAGCAAGATCTGGCTTCATGAACATGCGTAAAATGCTCTGTAACCCAAGCTATCAATCACAATAAGGTTAAGAACACTAAAGTGTTATGTGTGGTCTCTACTACTATATGGCTGTGAGACCTGGACATTAAAACAGTATGACATCAACAAACTGAATTCATTCGAAATGTGGATGTATCGCCGAATGCTAAGAATAAGCTGGACCAGCAAAACTACAAATGAAGAGGTACTGGAAATAATGAACACACGACCTCATCTGGTTAATACAATCAAAATTAGAAAGACTTCATATCTAGGACACATAATGCGCCATAAGGAATTTGAGCAGCTCCAGGTAATATTAGAAGGCAAAATCGAGGGTAAAAGAGGTATAGGAAGAAAGAAGAAATCCTGGCTCCGAAACATCAGAGATTGGACTCACACAACAGGAAATGACTTAATCCATCAAGCCCAGAACAGAGAGAAATTTGCCATATTGATCGCCAACCTCAATAGAGAAGGCACTTAGGAGGAGGAGGAGAGTGGAGACCAAGGCAAGAAGTAATACGGAACAGAGGACGCTCACCAACTAGATGGACTGATAACCTGAAGCGTGTTAACAATAACTGGATGCAAGCCGCACAAGACAGAGAGAGATGGAAAGAGCTGAAGAAGAATTATGTCCAGCAGTGGACGCATACAGGTTGATAATGATGATGTTGACGATGAATAGTCTTCTTCTTTTTGTGCCACTCCTATCGGAGATTGGAAATCATCAAGGCTATTCTGACCTTGTTTACGACTGACCTAAAGAGTTCATTAGTGGTGCAGCCAAACCACTCTCTCAAATTCCGCAACCATGACATTCTTCTACGGCCTGGATTCCGTTTTCCTTCTATTTTTCCCTGCATTATATTTTGAAGTAATGCGTATTTATGTCCTCTCATCAGGTGACCAAAATATTCGAGTTTTCTTCGCTTTAGCGTTAACAAAATCTCTGGGTCTTTTCCTATTCTTCGTATTACTTCACAGTTTGTTATTCTTTCAACCCAACTAATCTTCAGCATTCGACGGTAGCACCACATCTCGAAACTTTCAATATTTTTCATGTTGTTCTGTTTGAGAGTCCAGGCCTCTACACCGTATAATAGCGTGTTAAATACATAGCCTCTCAGCATTCTTAATCGTAGAGGGATGCTTATATTTCTGTTGCAGAAGAATTTTCTCATCTTTATGAAGGTGGCCCTGGCAATTTCGATACGTCTTTTTATTTCACTGTTTTGGTCTCCAGTTTCGTTTATTAAAGTTCCCAAGTATTTGTAACTTGATACTTTTTCAACTTGAGTGCCGTTTATACTAATATACGCTGGTTGTGTCATGTTTTTACTGAAGACCATATACTTGGTTTTTTTAATATTGATATTTATACCATAATTGTTGCAAGCAATATTTATGTCTGTAAGTAATCTTTGTAATTCTTCTACTGTTCTTGCAACTAGTACAGTGTCGTCCGCGTATCGAATATTATTTACAATCTCTCCATTAATTACGATTCCTCCGTTTGCTTGTAAAAGGGCTTCCTGACAGATGCTTTCACTATATACATTAAATAACAGAGGTGACAAAATGCAACCCTGTCGTACTCCTCTACGTATTTCTATTGCTTGTGATGTTTCAGTTTCTATTTTGATGTTAGCTTTCTGATTCCAATATAGATTGAGAATTATTCGCAGATCTTTATTATCTATGTCCTTCCTTTCAAGAATCTCTCTAAGCTTATCATGGCGTACTCTGTCAAACGCTTTTTCAAAATCGATAAAACACGTATGTACCTCCTGATTAACGTCTAGGCATCTTTGTGTGAGAACATTCAAACCGAAGAGAGCTTCTCGAGCACCAAGCCCTTTTCTGAACCCATCTGTGTATTACTAATATCTGACTCCAACTTTTGATAAACTCGGTTGTGGATGATTTTTAGAAATATCTTTAGTAGGTGGCTCATTAAAGATATTGTTCGATGTTCTGAACATTCTTTAGCATTAGATTTCTTTGGCAGTGTAACGAATGTAGACAACAGCCACTCTTGAGGTATAATGCCAGTATTGTATATTGTATTAAATAAGTGCAATATTATACCTATTGATTCATCATTCAAGAGCTTTAGCAATTCGGTAGGAACCTCATCCGGTCCATTTGCCTTCCCAGTTTTGGAATTTTTAAGTGCCATTTCTACTTCACATTTTAGAATTTCAGGTCCCGTTTCGCCATATATCAGAACAATGTTATTTCTGTTGTCCTCAAATAATTCTCTTATGTATTCACTCCATCTATTAATTTTCTCTGTTAAATCTATAATAATCTTTCCATCTTTGTTCTTAAGCAAACTTATTTGACGTCTTCTTTGGGTTCCTGTAATTTCTCTTACTTTTTTATGTATATTGAACGTGTCATACTTTCTTTCATAGTTTTCCATTTCTACACATTGTTCTGTAATCCATGATTCTTTGGCATTTCTTATTCTTTGCTTTATGTTCTTATCAACCTCTTTGTATTTTTCTGCATTATTCTTCATTTTACGTCTTTCATCCATTAGTTCTAGAATGTCTGGTGTCATCCACACCTTATGTTTCTTTGCAGATTTGGTTAGGTGTTTCTTTCCCGTAGTTCTTATTATAGTATTTATATACTTAAGTTTTTCATCTATGTTGTCTGTTCTGCGGATTTGGCTTTCTGCTACACTGAGGCTGGTGTTTATTTCTTCTCGCACTGTTTGTCGTAGATGTTCATTTTTAAGCTGGCTTAAGTCTAATGCTGGAATGATGGCTTTTCTTATTTTCTTTGGTCTAGCTTCTATCACAGATACTACTGGATTATGATCCGAACCGATATCAGCTCCAGGGAAAGTTTTAGTAGATTTTACGGCATTACGGTATCTTTTTGTCACCAATATGTAATCTATTTGGTTTCTGACCACTTTTTCTTGTGTATGTTGAGGTACGTCCACGTATATAGTCGCCTTGGGGTAGTCGATGAATAGTAGTTCATTTTATTTTATCAAAAGAATTTTTTAGTCCGTCCCATACTTTCTATTTCAACATGCGGACTCACAGTCCGCCGCGTGTACTGATGTGACTGTTTGAGGCGCGTGGACTGAAAGGTTGAACGAATGAATGATACATTTTGAAATGGTGCATTAATTTTGGAGAGAAGTGTATACACTGTAAATCTTTATCTAGTTTATTGCTTTCTATTTATTTTCCACTGTTCTCAATTTTGATTATCAAGAACTTTTATTGCAGTCGTTTATATTTTGCATTATACTAATACTGCATGCATATCCTGTACGTTAGTAATAGAGCATATAAAAGCTCGGGAAATGAACTCATTGCCTAAATAAAGATTATATGAACCCTAAATTAGCACTCATATTTATTAAATGCAGAATAAATCAGCATAAAATCTGCACGAGGTCTAATTTTCATTAGACAAACAATAACATAATTAACTCAGTCGTCCTGCATTTTGATTAATCAAAATATAATCCCACAGCTATTTCGTAAGCATCTGAAACGTATAATTTTATGGAACACATGGCCACTGGATGGTTTTTATTAACAGTTGTCTTTATTTTATATTATTTTACATAAAGCTGTAATTTAGTGAAGATAATTCTAGAAAATATAAACTACTAGTCAAAAGTTAGCAATAATGCTAAAAATTGTATAAACAAAATTAATTTTGCTCAACTTTAGACAACCTTGTTGACTTAGAATCAGAAATCCACGAAGCATTCGCAATAAAACAGTGTGTTGGAATATTTTTTGATATAAGCCAAGCGTATGATACAGTTTGGAAATATTCAATCATTAAAACACTCAGCAACTGGTTAATAAGGGTATCATATTAAGATACATTTCAAATGTTCTTGAAAACAGATAATTTCAAGTCCGAGTTGACGGAACATATTCTTAAACAAAAATTCAACAAAATGGTATACCACAAGGATCAGACTTAAGCGCAACTTTTATTATTAGTAGCAATAAATTAGAGATTAACACAAATTAAAAACCCCGTCAAAGCTAAATTATGCGTTGACGACCTAGTTATTTTCTGTACAGGAAAAAACATAACGATTCACAATCACATTCAAAAAGTCCACTTGTCAGCTACAAGTGGACTTTAGTTTAACACTTCAAAAACGAGAGCAATCTGTTTCTCAAAGAGAAATCAAATCCAAACAAAAGAATTATATCTACACAAACAAACACTAGATTATGTAGAAGAAATCCGATTCTTGGGTATGACGTTTGATAAAAAATTAACTTGGAAGACACATATTCAACAAGATTCTAAAAAAATCCTGTCTACCTGGTATAAATTGACTACGATTATTTGCCTTTAAAAACTGGGGTGCGGATTATTTAAGTTTAATACTTATTTACAAATCCATAATTCGATCAAAACTTGACTACGGAGCCATCGTCTACAACTCCTCCAAAAAAACATATTCCAAGTCAATGGATATTATCTAAAATAGATGTTTACGTATTTCTTTACATGATTACTACACAAGTCCCCATTCAAAGTCTCAGAAGACAATATCTAAGCCTAACATATGCAGCTGCAGTGTCATCTAACCGAAATTATCCAGTACTGCATAACGTTCTTGATGATCGATTTACAAATAAATTTCAACAAACACATCAAATTAATCATCCTTTTTACTTTCGTATACAATCACATTTATCCAAATTAAATTTTCAATTTCCAAAAACCTATAATACCTCTTCAATCCACAACCCTGCACCATATGACCACCATGGACAATATCTATTCCTGCTATCGACATCAGTCTAACAAACCTAAGAAAATCAGAGATATCTTCAATCATCATTAAACAAAAGTTTCATACACTATTAAACAGATATGGCAATATCTACAACGTATACACCGATGCGTCAAAAAATGAAGACAGAGTTGGAGCAGCAATTTATTCGGAAGACGCATCAGTTAGTTTTAAATTGTCGTCAATTACAACCATCTTTTCGGCTGAATTATTCGCAATTCTAAAAGCACTATCGTTAATATAAAACAAAACAAAGAAAGATTTATAATAATCACAGATTCTCTAAGTTCATTATCCTCACTGACTCAATTGTACTGTGACAACCTTCTTCTACTTCTTATTAAAAATAAACTTAAAAACATTTTAAATAAGAACATCCAAGTTCACTTTTTATGGGTGCCTTCTCATGTAATGAATGAATTGAAGGTAATGAAGTTGTAGATAAACTGGCTAAAAACGCACCAACTAATCCGATGTCTGAAAAAAGTAACATATTGGTACAAAACGATTTAAAATCATACTTAAAACAGCAAATAATTCAAAAATGGCAACAAATTTGGAACAACACTCCATTAAGGCTATACGAAGTCAACAAACATCCACATCTTTGGAAACCAAAAATAAAAGACAGAAGAGAGCAAGTGATACTTACCCGTCTCCGTATCGACCAAGTATATTACAGCGCAAAATATACCAGTGTGTGAAGTGTGCAACAATGTTCTAACGGTAAACCATTTTTTTAATACAGTGTGCCAAATATAACAGTGAACTACTCAAATATAGCATATCCAAATTGAAACAAATAAATATTATATTTCAGTTATCAACATTTTTCTTTAGAGTACGTGCTTCTTAATTAGAAAGATACTTGTATTAAATTTTTGTTATAGTACTTAAGAACTTTACAGATTTTGCAGTTTCTGCAAAACTTTTTAAAACTTTAGTAAATTTGGAAAAAACATTTATATGCTTTTAATTATAACTGTTTTTCGTTTTGTTAATTGTAAATTAATTAAAATATGATCACTAAATGTTACCTACCCTGACTTGAGAGAATGCCTTTTCGCTGGGCGTGTCTCTCAAATAGTGCCAGTATGAGTGGTGGCTCGGCCAGTATTCTGGATACCATTCTCTACCCTTTATTGGCCAATCTTCGTGTAAGTATAATGGTCGATATATTTTATAATGATAAAAAAATTTCGCATCGGGCCAGAATGAGTATTCGTAACCCGTTATCGGATTCCTAAGGTAAGTGAGCATGTTATCTAAAACAGAAAATTATTTCTTATCTTTTTGAATTAAATGTCAGTAGGTTTGATTTTCAATCTAGCAGAAGTACATCAAACATAGAGGTACATACAGCTGAAATAGAAGACCAATACCCGACATACGAAGAAGTAATACAGGCAATTAAAAAACTCAAAAATAATAAGACACCAGGTAGCGATGGTTATACCCGCAGAGTGCTTAAAACATGGAGGAGAAGGATTGTACAGTTCGATATACAAGCTAATTCAAGACATTTGGCAAGAAGAAACAATGCCAGATGAATGGAAAGAAGGGTTATTGTACCAATACACAAAAAAGGAAACAAAAAGCAATGTATTAACTACAGGGGAATAACACTCCTAAACACCACCTACAAAATCCTTGCAAACATCCTGCTAGAAAGAACCAAAACATACACAGAAGAAATTGTTGGAGATTATCAATGCGGATTTAGACCGGGCCGCTCTACAATTGACCAGATATTCACAATAAAACAGATAATGGAAAAATGCTGGGAGTTTGATCGTGAGCTTCATCAGATGTTCATAGATTTTAAACAAGCATTTGATAGAGTATGTAGGGACAGACTGTGGACAGCGATGCAGGAACTTGGCTTTCCAAAAAAACTAGTCCGGTTGATACGGATGTGTATGGAACGGTTACGATGTAAGGTGAGAGTTGGACAACAATACTCGGAGACATTTGAAATAAACAATGGACTAAAACAGGGAGATGCACTTTCACCACAACTCTTCAACTTAGCTCTGGAGCACATAATCAGAAGTGCAAGAATCGAAAAACCGAATACAGTATTTCATCGAGAAGGACCAAACTTACTACTGGCATTTGCAGACGATATAGATCTAATAGGAAACACGCGATTAAGGATGAAGGAGACTTTCGTAAGGTTTGAGAAGGAAGCAGAGAAGATGGGGCTCCAAATCAACGAAAACAAGACGAAATATATGTATATGAGCCGCAATAACCAAAGCAGAGACAGAATCGGTCAGAACATTACCATCGATGACTTTAACTTTGAGCGCGTTAGGGAATTCAAGTATCTTGGAACAACAATAACTGAAGACAATAACGGATCACAAGAAATAAACAACAGGATTCAGGCCGGCAACAGATGTATTTTTGCCCTCCAAAACCTTATAAAATCAAAACAACTAACACGACGTACGAAGATACAGGTCTATAAAACAATCATACGACCCGTTGTGATGTATGGAAGCGAAACGTGGACGATGACAAAGGCAAATGAAGAGAGACTACGTGTTTGGGAAAGAAAAATCCTAAGGAAGATCTTTGGTCCGGTGCTTGATGAAACATCAGGACAATATAGGATAAGAACTAATAAAGAGCTTGAAGAACTTTACCCAGACGCCAACATCATAAAAGAAATAAAGTCCAGAAGACTCCAATGGGCAGGACACCTCAGAAGACATTCTGACGAACGAACAGTAAGACTGGTGTGGCAGGAAGTCCCAACTGGAAGGAGACCACGCGGACGCCCTCGTCTCCGGTGGCGAGATAATATAGCAGGAGACCTAAGCACTATGGGCGTGGAGAATTGGATGGAGGTTGCTCAAGACAGAAAACAGTGGAGGCATGTTGTCGAGTCGGCTAAAACCCACGAAGGGTTGTAACGCCACGGAGTAAGTAAGTAAGTAAGTAAGGTTTGATTTTTATTTACCGTTTGATAAATACAAAACATATTAATTTTACTTTTATTAACTTAATTTAAATAAAAAATATAGTTAAAAGTGGATAAAAGACTTATCTTTAATTGTGTAATATTTCAAAGCAAGGATGTTGTCTGTCACCCACTTTATTTGAAATATACCTCGAAAGTACTTTAAAAAACATGGAAAGAAAATGCAGGATAACGGGAATACCGCTCACCAACACTATGGTATATAATACGCTCAACTTTGGAGATGATCAAGTAATAATGGCTCAAGATAATGACGATTTAAACTATATGGCATGAAAATTAATTGGAGAGTATGATATATGGGGTCTAGAAGTAAATAAAAAGAAAACCGAATACCTGTGCATTGGAGTAGAACAATAAGATCTCATATTAGACGATAACACTACGATAAAGCACTGTTGTGACTACAAATATCTAGGTATCACTATTTCACAAAATGGAACATTTTAGAGAGAGAAATACGTCAGGGAGAAAAGCCATCACAATGTTAAACAGCATTTTACGGGACCAATTCATCAGCAAAGAAAATACAACAAGGATATATAAGACTTTAGTAAAAAGTATTACTTTATACAGTTGTGAGGTATGGCCACTGAAAGAAAAAACAGTGGCAACGCTGAAAGCAACGAAAATGGATTTTTGGAGAAGTGCCACAGGAAGATTTAGAAGAGAAAGGATTATCAACAAATGTATTAGAGAAATAATCTAACAATCACAGATGACCTAACAACAAAACAACTTATCTGGTTTGAATACATACAAAAAATACCGACAAGTAGTAGCAGTATTTATAGTGGAACACTAAACAAAATTGTTTTTCGTTTCCCGTATTAAGTCAATTTTATCCATTTTTCCCGCCATTTTTCAGTTACCACTAATATAAATAATTTAAAAAGGAAGTCTGTACTTACCTACTATTTTCTACTCAAAACCAAAAATATCACAGCCTGCAGGTACTGTTCGTAACAGTGTTACAAATTTTATGCGATTATCGGTAATCTCCAAAAGATTTTAAACAATGTGTTGTTGGGTGTGATCCAATTTTCGCCACCACCGCTACAAATGCATTTCGGGTGCGTGACTAACGGTTTATTTGTAGAGTTTGTTGGGCCTTGACGTTGGCATTACGAAGGGTATTTTTATTTTTTCAATACCCAATGTTTATATTCGTTAAATTATATCATAAGACAAGGTCGAGTTTAATGAGTCATTCGATTTGTCGTGCTATAATAACATAGGTAAATATACCTCAACACGAGGTGTAAAAATATTTTTCTACACCTGTAATTATTTAGTCATGCAACTGTTGCTGATTTGTTATGCTTAAATAGAACTTTAAATTTGTTTTTTCAAAAAATTAATATGACAATAGTTTTAATAGAATGACTTAAGTAATAGCGGTGAACTACCATTGGATTTAAGAATACAAGAATTATTGCTTTTATATGCATCGAAGCGGTAAGCTTTACGATATCACCAAACCATTCGCTGCTCGAATATCCAGCAGTCAAAAACCCATACTCCCTTTCACGAAAGATGTAGACGTATCATAAATGAATTAAACCTTAGTCCCCGAAATCTATCCTAGCAAGATGTATATTATAGATCTCAAATCTGTAAACACGCATGAGATAATGGACATAGGGTTCAATGGAATAATTCAAATGTAGTCCTAAAAGAAACGGATGGTAAAAAAAGGAAAATCAAAGAAGCGGCTCTAATTATGCTAAATGAGGCCAATTGTGTCGCAAATTCCTCGGCCGGATGTAGTAGGATCTGGTTACCAATATTGAAAGAGAAAGTTATTAATAAGAAAATACCAGTATTAGTAAGTCAGTAACATATAGAGGATACATCATTTATGTTTTTTAAATAACGAAACATATAAAATCAGAATTTTGATATTTGTTGAAGGTAAACTAAATTCACGAACAAATACTTACAATGTCGGAATAGTATTATGAGGTTTTTTTCCTGGTTTTCCCTCATAATTTACTATGGAATCACTAACAGGAGAATTTTACTGTCATCATGTCATGTGTTTGTCTTTTTAAAGACGAGTTACATGCTATGATTTTTTTCTGACGGATATTCTCAAGTTAAAGTTGATTTCATGTAATCGAAGGAACTATCTTATAAGTAAAGTCGTCCCAGGAGCGCATCTCAACAATATTATCAATATCATTTTAAAGTCGTCTACTTTAAAATGCATAATGTATGTCTGAATTGTCAATATAAATGAGTCAGATAAAATTAAATTATTAGAAGAATTTTTCACTATGTAACAAAAAACAAAATTTGTTTAATTTACTGTTTGTATTTTGAAAACGATTTCCGAAGTGGAAATTGAAACGTCAATAAACGTATTTTTATCTTTAATTGTGGCTTATTCCCAGTTTAATAGTAATTAATGATTAGATTCCTACATGATCAAATTGTTTATGTAGGAAACTAAACGAAAAATGTTGTCTGATGTGTATCGTTGTCTAAGATGGTATGTAGTATGTAGCATATTTTTTTATAAGGGAACGTACAAGAGATATATAGGAGACGAGTGCAGAAAAAGCTATAAGAAAGACGATCATTGTGTAATATCTGATTGAGGGTACGGTAAAAGGGAAAGAGAGAATGAAAGGAAGTAGCAATAATGTTCTAGTACTACGGCAGTGGTTCTCAACCGGTGTTCCGCGGAACACTAGTGTTCCGCGATTTCCTTCCAAGTGATCCGCGAAATACTCGCAATTTTGCTAAATTACTCTTTTCAAATAAATATTTTCAAATTTTAAAATAGTAACTTACGTACATTTTAATTTAATAAAATTCCGCGTCGGCACAATGCACACGTTGGATTTTATAAGCGCTGAGCGCTGAGCTCCGCAGTGGCCACAGCCAATCTGAGTCACCCACGCCACAGTCTGCAACTGAATGTTGAATTTGTTACATTGCACAAACGTAATACGTGAAAATCGATGTGTCAGTTTTTTTATGATAACGTTTACGTACGGCTTATCTATCAAAGGTAAGTAATTGCATATTTTATACAAAATGTGAAGCATTCATCCATATTATTTTGTTTAGAGACGAATAAATTAAAATGGATAAGTTCCTCAAACTTAAAAGAAAAACTACTGTGGAACAACTCATAATTAATGATGATGAAGCGGGCACCAGCGGAGATACTGGAACTTTACGAAGTGGGGTTGATGACAAATCGAAGCAAAGCTCATTTATTAGGATTTATTCGATTTGTCGACGAAGCTGAAATAGTCAATCAGTTTTTATGCTGCAGAGAACTTACAGCACGTACAACAGGTCAGGATTTATTTGATTCCATAACGTCATATTTAGAGAAAAAAAAATATATCATGGGACTTTTGCGTAGGAATTTGTACGGATGGTGCTCCTTCCATGGTAGGCTCCATAAAAGGTTTTTGTACCCTTGCAAAAAAGCGAAATGAAAATATCATATCTACGCACTGTTTCTTGCATAGAGAATCTCTAATTTCAAAAACGCTACCAGCTACTTTGAAATCTGTATTAGACCAAGTGGTTAATGTCGTGAATTACATCAAATCAAGACCACTAAAAACCCGTCTTTTTAAACAACTATGCATCTCAATGGAATCAAAGTATGAATGTTTGTTGCTGCACACCGAAGTTAGATGGTTGTCAAGGGGCAAAGTATTATGTCGAATTTATGAACTTAGAATGGAACTGTTAACTTTTTTCCAAGAAGAAGATAATGACACATTTACCACATATTTTGAAAATGATGCATGGTGCACTAAAGTGGCATATTTGGCCGATATTTTTAATTATTTAAATGGCGTTAACTCAAGTATGCAAGGCAAAAATGAAAATATTTTAACATCCACGGATAAGCTGTCAGCTTTCCAGAAAAAATTGTCATTTTGGAAGAAGCGCATTTTAGAGACAAATAAAATGGATATGTTTCCACTGCTTCAGAATGAAGGTGATGAAGATAAAGAACAAGAAATCACGCATATAGTTACAGAACACTTATCACTGTTAGAGGAGAATTGCCAGGTATTTTCCATCTCTGAACGTAGAAAAATATGACTGGATAAGAAGTCCTTTTAGCACAAGTAATACAGCCAATTTCCAGTTTTCTCTGAACCAAGAAGAAGAATTTATTTCGTTGTCATCTGATCGTACTCTGAAAATTAAGTTTTCAGAAGTGAATGTTCAGGAATTTTGGATCTTCATCCAAGAGGAATATCCACTTCTTGCCAAAAAAGCGATTATTATTTTAATACAGTTTTCAACGTCCTATTTATGTGAATTTGGGTTCTCAACTTTAACAAACATTAAAAATAACAAACGGGAAAGGCTGCTAAACTTAGAACAAGAAATGAGAGTAGCTCTTTCCCACATCAGGCCTGATATTGAGCAAATTTGCAA